TCCCAAAGTTGGCTGCCTGTCTGAGGGAGAACTATATAGATTCAGACCAAAAATACAGGCCCGACATTTGCGATCCGGAATAATCTCCACCATCTGGGCTGCCCAGATTGTACTGAGGTATATCATGTGCGAGGGAAGACGATCCCTTAGCAACCAGGATTTCTATCCCCCGTCCCGTGTCTCCACAGCTGGTGACAGTTTGGTACACGGGAAAGGTGAAATCCTCCCCATCAACGTTTCCTGCTAGAGAATGACCTTCAGCGTATGTTCTGCCAATCAAAACAGCTGCACCAGTGCAGCCCTACGCTTGCTGAAACTGGTACAGTTCCACTGCCAAATCCCAAATCTCCACGGCATCTCCGTCATGTTTACGGAGCACACACCATCATATCAGCAGCCGTGCTGGTCTCCCTGCTAGGATCTTGACCCCTCAACTGCGATTCGGCTAGCAGCTCTTGCCTTCCTCTAGCAAGAGCCTTTGGAAGTTCCAACACCGTGATTCTACCCTCCAAAGAAGACAGAACATCCATAAGATGATGTAACGTTGTCTCTATATACGTGCCAACCTATCCTCGATGCCACCAGTCACAGAAGACGAGGTGGCTTCCAACTCAACTGCCTCGACCGCAGCCGCACTTTTAGATTGCTCCTCATTAGGTGCCAGGGCGCTGCGCTTGGCTTTACCCTAAAGGGGACCATCTTCTTTACAATCTTCCTGTGCCATCTCCTTGAACGACTTAAAAGCCGCCTTGAGTTCCGTCAAGTCCCTCCTTAACTGTTTATCTTGGCCTCAAGAGCTTGCATACGGGGATATACAACATGCTCTGACCTGCCTCTCACCGGTGACTGGCGTCTTCGCTCAGGAGGCCCAGACTTCGGCTGATTCTGGTCTTTCTTTGGACCGAGAGTGCGAGCATCCACTGGACCGAGAGTGAGAGCGAAGTATGGAAGTCTTCCCCGCAGCTGCAGTCTCTGTTGATGATTTACCACCATCAGCCCCACCAGCGTTGTCCCAAGTCGCATTCTTTTGCTCTCTTGCGTGCTGCCGACGACGCCGCCTCCGGCGCCCCACCACATACGGCGCCTCAAAGCGCTCCTTGGATTCTTATGCTTTGCAGCCCGTAAGATCTGGGCACACGCACAACCCACACTTTGGCTCGCACACATGGTGCTAAACTTCATCCGTTGGGCCCGAGACCATGGGAATTCCACACCCACGAAACTTTGCTTTCTCCTCTGCACTGCTAGGGCAGACGTCAGCCCGATTACCAACTTCACCGCAGACGTAGCAAACGTCCACCTGGCGACAATAAAGGTAGCAGTGGACAAGCGCCGTTCCGCACATCACCGTGTTAGGCACCATCACGCCGTCAAAGAGCACCACTACAGTCGACGTGGTCTTAATCCGCTTGCCTCCAAGAACGTTGGGTTCCAACCAGTAACAACCATGCGCTTAAGCACTTAATGACCAATCGACGGGTCGATATTGCAAAGAATCCCCTTACAGGTGTTCTCCGGGGCCGCGATATACGTAGACACCTCAAACGACCACATCCCAGCGTAAATCTTGCAGACCTCCGCATAGTTCATCGCATTGAACTCGCGCGGGACAGAGACGACAACGATATTCTGCATCTTGTTGGGGCATAACGGATCCTCCTTTATCTGATCCTCTGTCAGGCCAGCCACCATAGATAGAGCCTGAGCTAAAAGAACAATGCCCGCCTTCGTCACATTCAGCCAGCCTCGCGGACAGACTATAACCTTATTATCATTCCTAGGGAGCCGGACATCCGTGAAAATCCTGCAGCCCACCTCGAGCCTCGTCGCACCACTTCCTGTACCTTGCCAGAGCCGGCGGACGCCTGCACTCTACCATAGTGGCCGCCGCCACCCGACGACCTGTGTCTCACATCACCTTTCCGGGAAGGAAATGCCGCAGTCCACCCGGCATCTTCCAGTTTCCCCGGACTCGCGTTCATCCCTTCCACTTCTACAGTCGCTGACATAATCGCTATCACCTCCCTCCGTCACGAAGATGAAAGCGGCCGCGAAGTTATGCCGAGGCCTCACTCACATCTACCCAGCAAAGTACGCCCAACGCACCTGAAATGTCGTACATCTGTTTTATTGTTAATGAGAACTGACACACAATTATGCCAAGGAAAGTATATGGCATATTATTAGAGGTAATTATAATGCAAATATGAAGAAACAAAAATGGATGAAAAGATAACTTGTCGTGGGCAGGAATCGAACCTGCGACCTTCGAATAACGTGTTTGATGCTCCACCAACTAAGCTACTATGGTGGCTATCCTCCCATTCACTTCATTGCATGGGTGATGGGTGTGCATGGGTATTAAACGTGTAAGCGTCAGACTCATCACCACCTGTTACCATTGCGACGAGTGTGGGACACTCATTTTTTATTGGCGTGCGTTACGTAGGACGTGTTTTTATTACGAGCTGGCAGCTGACCAATAATTCCTCACCTATCACCTGGAGGCACTAAGTCTGCCAGAACGAGACGCTCACTATGAATGAAGGAAAGAAGGGTAAACTTGAAGACTCGTTTTCTTTGTTAGACACAATATTAATTCGCGTTATTCGAAGGTTGCAGGCTCGCTTCCTGCCCACGGCAAGTTATCTCTTCATCCACTTGAATTTCTTCACATTTACATTAAAATAACTTCTAATAATATACCCTATACTTTCCTTGCCATAGCTGTCTGTCAGTTCTCATTTATGTTGTTTCTAACACAGAAAACGAGTAATTAGGTTAACCCTTCTTTCCTTCCGTTTTTATTGCAGTGTGCTTTGAAGATCCTCGTTTTTGGCAGTTCTTGTTGGAATTAGGGGGTTTTATACTTCTGTCCTATAATATCATATGATGCACAATCAGTAGCGGCGAGCTCCTAATCGTTTCTTACCACTTGGAGTTCTGTACCGTGTACGTTAATCCTACCAACGAGTGCTTTTGTGTTCCTCGACGATCGATATGCGGCCGCCGTGGTCGGGAATTAGAGGCACATTCTGGAGCTTGGCAGTCCAACGCCAATTACCGCATCACTGGTCTTACTCAAGGTTCTAGCGTATAGCATGGTCTTAATCGAAGTTTTGCCTTACTGTATAATTGAACTTTCTCTCAAATGCGATTAACGTAATTCGATTTGTCGTGGCTTTACCGTGGTTACAATAGCGACAAATAATGCATTCTGAGTCGGCCTCGGCGAACAGTGGCTACGGTGCTCGGCTGTCGATCCGAAGGTCACCGTTTCGATTGAGGCGAAAAGCCAAATGTCAGTGCACGTTAAGGAACACCAGCTGATCGAAATTTCCGCATTGAGGTGCGCCTCATAATCATATCAGGGTTCTGGCATGCTAAACTCTAGATAATATCATTAATACTGCAAGCTGAATCAGTGGTACGTATGTTTTTTTTTCAAATTTTTGCTTAATTCGACTCTTCATATAGTTAAAATTAATCGACAACTACGTAGCGTTTTGAAGCACGAGGACGGAACACTCGCGTCGTTTCCTCTTTCTCTATCTTTTTCTTTTCGTGCGCTTTATATTTGTTACGCGTGGAGAAGACTTCTTCTAAAGATGCCACCTCACCTGCTAAGTCGGGTGGCGTCCATGTTGTCTTACAGCATTGAATCCGAGATGACTTTCGATATTTCAGCCTAAAGTAAAGATGTTCGCGTGACCCCCCAACCACCCGAACGCATTCAGTTCTTTGCCGAATGCAATCTTGAAAATGCATTCGGGGTACCTCTAAAACGACGCACGCATCAAAACAGGATTGTATTCCAAAGTGTAACTTCATGCCAGTTGATAATTTTACACATCGCACCTGATCACCTCACACACTTCTCACAGCCCATTCAATGCCTGTCATAACAAATGCCACAAAATTTCCTTCGAATTTGATTGGCTTGCTTTGTGAAAGTCTGTCCATTTTTTGGACATGCCCCTGAGCTAGGGTTTTTTCGATGCATATATTTAGGGGCGAAGCTCCTTATGGCGTGGCTTGTGCGTCCCCCGTTGTCGTAGTGCGTAACCTGTGGCACATACCCGCATACCAGTGGTACATACCCGCCCTAAGGCACATATCCGCATGTCCACGTGTTACGAAAAACGTAGCACAGCGTCGTTATCCTGCTCTTGGTGTTAACAAAGCGCTGGCAGCAGAACAATGGTACATACTCTCGTTTAGTCCTTGGATTGTCCGCTGGATGGCGGTACTTGTATATGATGAATATATAATAAAAAGAAGCGAGATGGTGGTACTTGAGGTGTTCACTAGATGGACGGACAGGCACACCGATGGACGGACGGACGAATGGACGCACAGATGCACGCACAGACAGACGCACGGATGGACGCACGAACGGACGCACAAATGAGCGCACGTACAGATGGACAGACGCACGGACGAACGGATGCACGGATGGATGAACGAACGGACGCACGAATGGACGCACGGACGGATTGACGGACGCTTCACCCCACTTATCATCATTCATTCCGTGGATATGCTGGGATTTTTTTTTGTGTGTGTGCAAATAGCTGCAATCGTAGCTGCGATTGAGAACAACTAAAAAAGGGGGGGGGGGCACACAGTTGCTCTACAGCGTATATTTAGAAAACCAGGCGTATAGCATTTGTTTATTTCAGCAGGCTTACAAGGTTATCTTGGTGGTTTTATTGGGTCTTACAAGGTTATCTTGGGACTTCGTAGTTTTATTAAGTGAGATGGTACCAGTGCTCATGCTTTTTTTAGAATTCTATATGTCTGTGGGACGTAATGGTAATGCGATTCAATACATGCAAAGACGACGTGGAAAAACATGCCTGGGTTTTTGTAACTTCTGCGCATTTCGGTTACGGGTCACTTGTTTGTTACAAGTGGTACTGTGGTATTGAATCTATGCGCGTACACCCTGGCCATCGAAATGAGCTACGAAATAGGAAAGAAATGCAGGCACCCGGGAAGAGACGGGAGAAGAAATGTTTTATTCCGTCGTCAGTCGAGAAACAAGCAAACATCGACAAGAAGATCGCACACGTGCAAACTGGAGTATAGGCTGGTTTTCCTCATCTACTGGGGTTAAAAAAAAGTTTTCTTCTCTCGTGGCGGTTACATTACACAGGCCGTGTGCTTGTTATTCGTCCAAGTATTATGGCATGCCGGCGTCCTTGCGCCTGCTTTTCGCTTTTATATCGCACTGTGCCTACGACCAATACTCCAGCGCAGATGCAGTCTTAGCAAATGAGCTATACGCAAGAAGGGTCGTTTGTGGAAGAGCAATATTGTCGTGGTACTTCGCTTGCATCTTCTCATTTCCTTTGTGAGTATTTACAGCGGAAAGTGGTTGCTCTCCGAAGCGCTGCTAAATGTGCAGCCCACGCACGCCATACACGTATGAAGTCGCAAATATGTTATATTTTCGCTAACTTTTCGTATTCTCGTTCAGCGTTATCAAAAACTCACGCTCATCTTAGTAAGTGAAGCAGTTGAGCGCAGACAAATGGAGTAGGTCATACCACATGATTGATAGCAGTTTGGGGTTCTTAAACCCTTCGCTTGACGCCTTACCCCGTCGCCATTTTCGCCACCGCAGGAAATTCTCGTAGCCGAAGAAAAGACACTCGCTATCTTGTGAAAATCTTTGTGCGTGCGGCAATGTTTGTTTTAACGATAGCAGTGAAATATTCTACATATCACTAGGACGGCGCAGTCATTGCCTACTTGAAAGGTGATTGTTAAGTTACGTTATCGTTGCTTTGTTTTTGTATAGTGTGCATGGTTGCTCATAGCGCACACTGCCTGTCACTTTGGCTGACGAGGCTAAATACACATGAAATTTGATTAACTATTCATATACCTTTGCATTGCTACGCGCGATTGACACGTGTATTGTCATGGGGCGTGTTTGATGACGAGAAATTGTTGCACCTACCATCCTTTGGCCGCTGTGTGCCAGCGCATGTGTTCCAGTTGTGTCACGCACTCTGAGAAATACGCTGTAATTATACAAGTTCGGGAGGAACTCTTCGCACCGCTCTTCGATCCTCGCCCTGCAGCAGCGAGTTCGTTACCGTATCCACGCAGGAACGATTCGCGAGTGGTCGAAGCCCAGCCGTCGGGCATTTGGGCAAGATTCGTGTTTGGTGGCTCATAAGAGCACCCAAACATGTCGTCGTTAATTACATGAATATGTGGACGTTTCTCTGATGTGTAAAGCATTCCGCACAGCCGAATTTGAATTAATCCAAGGTGGAATCGAGTCGTGCTATAGGTGTTGACGGATTTGAGATTACTTGTACATTGAACCGTGCTTCTCGCACTCCATTTCACGTAGTCATGCACTACTGCGCGACCACTTACGACTGCTGCCTCGCGTCTTCAAAATATATAGGTTACTTTAGGCGAGTACAGTTATTGATATATTGGTTGTCATGGCGACATTTCAAAAGAGAAGTGCAAGTCCTGCTCGGGAAGACATCACTCCACAACGTGGAGTTTCTTTGCAATGCGTTACGATTGTTAGCGTCGTCTGACCAATTTAGAATGTTTATATGGTCAATGCCGCTTTTCTGAAGTTAAGCCACAACATAGTAGCTACTTTGTCTCACCAATTCATTCCAACTTCATCTGGCGGCGATGCCACATTGATTGATAGAATTATCTTCATTAAAGTAGTCGTCCTCATCTTTCGCTCTGTAAAACCTTTTTTCTCCATGATTAATGTTCTCGTACATCGCTGCACTTGGAGTTTTTGTTGGTATGGGTCTAGAAAATGTTGTCTATAGTTTATTTCAACTTGTTGCGTATATATATATTTAGGCGGGGCCTTTCTTCTTAGTCTCTATATGAAGCTTTTTTGGCTTCTTGTTCTTGTGTCTTCTCTGCACTCACACACACGCACACACACTGCATTATCACTCATGAAAGCATTCCTGCTTCTCCTAAGGCTCGGAGACTAGCATATGTCAGAAATAGTTTCATTTGAAGTCGACGTGTCTTCTGCCGATGCAACAAGAACAGGTAAGCCGAGGCACGAAAGAAATATGTATGACATTGAGAATATTACAAATTATGAATAGTCCGGGTAGTACGAAAATTTGTGTGCATATTGCATTGCAGAGGTCAAAACTTAAAGCGATGCGCAGAAAATCAAAAGCGTGGTTGACAACAGAAAGTGTAGTGACAAAAAAGAACGTACTGTTTTTTTTTCAATGATGCAAATAATAGTTGAGTTATCGGGACCCTAAAATAAGTCTTGTGCACACGTAGGTAAGTACATTCGTGTGTAATAGTGCAGAAGCAAGGCAAGAAAAGAAAGGCGTTACAAGAGGCGATAAACATCCCACAACTTTGGCAGCGCGGCGACGTACGCTCTTACGCCGTCCCTCAAAGAAGGAGGTAATTTCTAAGATATTACCGGCTGTCTGCGGTCCTTTATGGTTACTAAGCAAGGGCATGAGTGGGTGGCGTTCCTGCTGAGCCGGCAAATGACAGCCTAACTTCGACACTGGCCCCTCCGACTACGACCATGGTGTTAGCGGGTGTAGAAGGTGGGGGCCTTCACTGGCCGAAACGTGGCTTGGCTGGAGCAGCGCGGTGACCACGACCTCGGCAGGCTGTTGAAGTTCTGGAACTGGGACAGATTGATGCTGCTCGGAGCTGGTGATCCGAACGTGGGAAGTGGGCTCAGGGAGCTGGGCTGGACGGCTCCGCCAGTCTGTAGCGGCGGACAAGGACTCACGCTCTCGGACGGGGCAGCGCTGCCGCCGGCGCTGGACCAGGAGCCGCCGCTGTGATCGGGAGCGGGCTCTGCGCATGAAACGCAGCGATTGAGCTACGCGCGATGAGTTTTCTGCAGCCCCTCACTGTATATGCCGAGCACACTGATCGAATGTAACATGCTGCGCACTGCAGCTGCTTGGTGAACTGCGAATCGTTGAAATGAAAAGAATTGGAGGATGCCTGAGCTTCCTCTTCAAGAGTAGATCGCGATAGCGTAATCGGGCCTCGTGCGCATTGTCTTCTGAACGGGTAACCTGCTTCGGTTCTTGGTGCGTGCCTTAAACGTGCCGTAAGGAAATGAAGGACTGTATGCGTAATATTGGCTGTTGCAAAGTGTCATTGAATATATCTTGTAAGCACTGTTGTTCAATGCCCACTACGCCACAATTATTTCTTTTGCGAATCAACCAAGGGCCCACTACACGTCACCACGCGATCCTACGCAGCTGTTGACTTTGTATATGGTTCTGCTGGTGATGATGATTAAAATGTCTGAGCGCTCTGTATTGGTTCGACCTTTAAACCACCAACTTGTTACCCAACTCACATCTTTTGACGCCCTACGCGATTCTACGATTCTTCCACGCAATGTATGATGTGCCACGCAATATACGAGCCTCCTTCCCCTACGTGATATTCATAGGCTATAGTGTTTTTTTCCGAGGCAATTTCAGCAAATATTGTGGCTCTGTGGTACAGCACCTGCTTGCTACGCAGACCATGTGGGGGTACCATTTTTCCTCGGATCCAAAAATTGTACTTTTTATTTTATTTGCAGATTTCACAATTTTTGGTAACAGAGAAGATGATGATTTTTTGCTCACAACCAATGACGCCGACCCCGACCTCGACGCCAAAATTTCTGCAAAACGTGCTCTTTAAGGTTAATATAATTTTCTGCTGAGGCTAACAATTATAGGACCGCGATTGAACTGACAGCAGTGCAAGTTGGTCTTCGTTCATATTGGATGCGAAAAAGGACAATAAAGGAAAATGAGTGACGAGGGAAAACTTTTGAGCTAAAGAGCATGACGCCGAAAAAAAATGTAGCGTATGGTGACAATACTTCTTGCTCTGATATATCAGTGGATAGTTTCCGATATAGTATCGCCTGTCTTCCTTCTTGGCCTCGTGTTTTTGCGAATCCAGGCAATATTGAAGCTATTCAAGGAATAAGGTATACGCTCGTGTAGATATAACACATTAACAATATTTTACCTGCAGATCAGTGATAAATGCAGAGAAGGCAGCAACACAGCATCAAAGAAAGGGCAATATGTCTGAAGGGAATTCGGGTGCTATTCACGTTTTGTGCTCACACTCTAAAAATGTCAAAGAATGCCAGTTTTTTTTACCCCTTGTAATGCCGATAAACGTGCGCCGCGTTCCCCTCGTTGCCATTAGTGCTGGATTTGGTATGAAAAAAAAAAAAAACTTGTTCTTAGAACCGCGAAGAGCAGTAGAAGGAAATTTTATAATTTGAATTTTGATCGATTTGTGGGGTTTAACGTCACAAAACCACCATATGATTATGAGAGACACTGTAGTGGAGGGCTCCGGAAATTTTGACCACCTGGGGATTCTTTGAATGTTGCTGCCAAGGCAAGTTCTTTGTTCTGAACCATGGTGACAACAGCTTTTGTTGAAAGGTCCTGGTATTGACGGCAAGCAAACGCTTGGCTGAGAACCAAGAACGCTTGGCTGAGAATGGAAGAAGCTGCACGTGTATGAGCCACCAACTCGGTCACCTTAAACGGGTGGTCCCTTTCTATTATTGGAGAACCCCAATTAAAAAAGGGGCATTGTCAGTATATTGAGGTTGGATTTTGTGACAATTTAATGCGCATGATTGGACGCACGCCGGCGGTCCTTTTCTCTGAAAGAGAATGAGGGGACAAGAGGGGGAGTTAAGCACATGATATCACCATACTAATCAATCTAATGGCTTGTGTGGTGTAAAAGTAGATTAATGACTATCCTGTCTAAAAGTTTTTAGTGTGTGCTTTGTATCAGCTGACCATCTTAACTTAACCGTTTGCCTGGTTGAGACACGTCTGCAACGTAGGCATAGGGACTTCAATTTTGGGTTAGCGCAACCTGTCTGAGATCATCTTCAAGCACTAGCTCCTGGAAGTATCGGCGTTGCCACTCGGACCCACCGACATCGCAGTTCTGCCAGGACGCTTCGGGACTTCTCGCATCCGATCGCTGTGCACGCAACGCTACCAGTCATCTCACATATAAGCTTTCACCTGTTTATAAAACTGAACTTTTGCGTTTTTACTGTTAATTATAATCCATACTTTGTCTAGTGTTAATTCATTTTGTGTATTTTGTATGTTGTTAGCTTATTGTTTGAATCTATTTGTAGATTGTTTACCCGAAGTGTCTCATTTAGAGTGCTTGGAATAGCTAGGTGAAAGCAGTCGTTTTGTTGCCCTAACACGTCTCTGATCACTTAACTGCTTCTACTTGCGTAAGGAACGGACCAACCTGCTGTAACTTCTGTCGCCGACTTCGCGCCGCAAATTGTAAGAAATAGTAATAATATAGTCCGGGGTTTTACGTACCGAAACCACGATATGATTATGAGGGAGGTCACAGTGGAAGGCTCCGAAAATTTCGACCATATGGTGATCTTTTAACGTGCACTGCCATTGTGCACAGTACACGGGACTCTACTATTTCACCTCCACCAAGTGCGAACGCCACGGCTTGAATCGAACCCACGACCTTTGGGTGAGCAGCCGAGCGCCGTAACCGATACACCACCGCAGCGGACGGTCAGCGAGTGTAGGAACAGCATAAAATGTTTCATATATCCATTAGAGAATCTACTGAGTTCTCGCTGAAGAACTTGCTTGCTGTTATTGCAGTTAAAAAAAGAACATTGGCTGGTTGATCTCTTTGGTAGCATTCGTAGGACTGCCAGCGTGCTGCTCCGCATATATAAATAGAAAGTGATTAAAATAATCTGGAATGTATGACAAAAATAAAGATAGTATAAATGAGTGAGTAAACGAGATAACGATATTTACAGGCGGGAAATTTCGGCATTCTGAGAAGGCCCATTTCTGACAGCTAACGAAAGAAGTAACCCAAGACACGACTGTTTTGCGCGGCACGACATAGGAATTAAGACGCATCGTTACGTTAGCAGATCATGAGACATCGTGCCCATCTGGCGCTCAATATATACTCTATCGCCTCGGTACGAGGTACATTCAACGTGTGTGGAGACCCAGATCACTTTCCCATTAACGAATAGCTTGAAGACGCTACGAATAGCTTGGGATAGCTTGAAGACGCTAATGCTGCACGCGCAGTTGTTTGTTTCTCTACGGCACGGTTGATGCATGCACCCAGAACTGAAACCTGGCTAGAAATTGAGAAGGCGACGCGCACAGGGCCTGGTTACGCTATCACGTTCTGCTCTTAAAGGCGAAGCTCAAGCTTCATCGAAGTTTTTGAGAAAGGAATTCGGGAGGTTTCACTTGAGAGCACTGGTAGAATAAGCTCGGGCGAGTTGTCGGTTCATTTTTGGGTACAACACGACAAAGAAGGGCGCATACAAATACAATTTGACCCTCTTCGTCTGCATCCCATTTTTTTTTTCAGATCTTTGCCCGAGAAGCACAGGAGGTATTGGCGTCCACATGGGGCCGAATTCTCGTTTGCGTTCGAGGCACGCTATCTTGAAATTGAACATCACGGAACGCTGTCGCACGGGGTCAGCGACAGGCGTGGCACTGGTCACGCGGTGTCTTACGAAAACGCAAGTATCCTAATCGATGATCGACCGAGGATATCAGCCAATCCGCCTAACTGCATTATGTTATAAAAGAAAATGGACAGTTTCTCCAGGAGTATTTTTGTGGGATTCAGAGGTCAAGACAGTGCATATATATGTAGAAAAGATCTGCCCAACCGGCGTCTAGCCTGGTCGAACGTGATCAACTGGTGTAACGAATAACTTACGCGTGGCGGTGCCCCGCCAGCCCCGAGGAGCCCTGGCCAAGCATGGGTCTTTTGGATTGTAAGGGGTGGGGAACGGGCGCGGCTCGTAGGTGGCTGGCTCGTAGGCGCCAGACAGCCCGTTTTGGTAGGCAGCCGGTTCGGGGACCCCCTTCGATTCAGCGGCACGGATCACGCTTTCGACGACCTCTTCGGGGCGCACCATGGCGAAAGCTTTTTCGCAGCTGCCAATGGGAGACTCGAGGGCCGCCTCCCAGGGACTCTTGACAAGCTGCGGACAAATAGATAACAATGACGCATTCCTGTTTTTCCCGACTGTTTTCAAAATAATCTTCATAATTGATCATAGATTCTTCCTAACCATTGAACCATGTATTGTTTAGTGCCTTGATACTTTCATACCTCTAATACATCGTGGTAGTAAAAAAGTTTTGAAAGTCAAAAATACATTGCAGGTAAATATGCGCTGCCTTTCAACTATAGCTTACCTAAAAAACAATAAAAAGGAATACCGTATTGTGTGCTGAATGCTCTAAAGTAACTGGACACCCAATGGCGTTTTTTTAGAGTTCGGGAACCAAGATGTAGAAAGTTATGCATCCTGTAATATTAGTTCAAGTTGAATCTTTCTTATGAATTCTGTGTGACAATTAATAAACTTCACTGCGTGTCATTAGGTAATTAATGACCGAATTGAATGAATTGACTGAATTGACTGAATTTCCAAAATATGTTATGCATTTGATTTTCTTAACAAAGTATTTTGAAATTAGTTGACTAATCCCATCCAAAACTGGCCTTGCGTCATTAACGCTCGTGATCTTCAAAATATTTTTTTGTTGTCTTCGCAGAGACACCAAATACATTTTACTGCTGGGACATTCACTGTGAGATTGCGGGCCTAAAGAGGAAAAGCACCAGGTGCTTCTCCTGAAAGATGCGCCACGAAACTTTGCGCTTGTGCGCAGCGGAATTTTCGTCGTTTAACTGTAGAGTTAAGTGAACACTGATCTAGATAGATTAAAAATATGAATAAATAAATATGCTCGCCAGCGATCCTTTTGGGGAGATAACCTAGAGCATCAATTTGGAGTCCTTAGCTGTTTGGAGATGCTCTATCAGGTTTTGCGAAAACTGTAAGAGCAAACGAATCTAATATAAGTCGTCGGAGTTTTTCTGGACGTGGGTGATTCCTCAAAACATTCTCGATTGAATGTTATGGTTGATTAAGGTCGACCGTTAAAATGTCATTTATAAGATGTGAGTTGTCAACTACAGCAAAATTCACCAAAAAAGAGTGTGTTGCTTATGAATGAGGGTTGTTAGCAGCGTGTCACTTGCATTTGTCCAGCACGCACCTGCCTTTTCCGAGGTTTGTTAGAGGCCACCAGAAACACCGTGTAAGCTTGGTGAGGTGTAAAGTGTGCATAACTGCATTCATCGTGTGGACCACGGGACCAATACACTCACCCTCAGCCGGGGGTTGACAAGCGACTCTTTGAAACGGTCTACTGGCGTCTTGATGGGAGCACGGATGGGAGCCACCGGCTGGTGCGGCTCCGGCCAGCGATCTCCCAGCTGGGCTTTGACGCGCTCCACGTCCACCACCCAGTCTTCAGACTTCTTCTTGCGCTTGGCGAACATGGCGGCGCCCTTGCCGCACGGTGAGTTCAGGTCTTTTACCAGATCGAGACACACCTCTGGACTGATGGCGTTGTGCTCGACGATGCTGATACCCGTTGAGCGCAGCGTGTTGGCGTCTTGTAGGTGTCTTGGGTCTAGGATAAGCTTCAGCTTCGGAGGGCCCTGCGAGCAGCAAGTTCAGCACGCGTTACAGTGCGAGAAAAGGCAGTGTGATGGAAAGCCGCAGCGCGTCGAGACCCTAGACAGATGAAACAAGGGGCGTATATAAAGCGTATAGTGACTGCATAGCTTACGAGTCTTGATAAAAAGCAGCATCACTCAGAATACAGGTGTGTGTGCGAGTGTGTGTGTTTGTATGTTTTTGTGCTCTGCTTCATCAATATCAAATGTGTGCATACTAGTACAGTTAACATAACTATTCGCTTGCTTCCTACTGAATAGTTTTCTTCAAATAATGTTGGTCATGTTTTTGTTTTATTGTGATGACATCTTTCTTAGCGAATTAACCACCACGTTTTAGTATCAGTTATTTTGCTGGATTCTTTTGGGAGCCACCTTCAGAAATATAGTTCTGCTTTTTTGTACGAGAAATATTAAAAAAAAACTAATCCTGATGCGCACTACTGATACGAGGACTGAGCACTGAGCCAATGACCTTCCCCCCTTCTTTTCTTCTTCCTCACACCACTACTCTTCATCATCACTTGCCCCGCCGTGGTGGTCTAGTGGCTAAGGTACTCGGCTGCTGACCCGCAGCTCGCGGGATCGAATCCCGGCTGTGGCGGTTGCATTTTCGATGGAGGCCAAAATGCTGTAGGCCTGCGTGCTTAGATATGGGAGCATGTTAGAGAACCCCAGGTGGTTTAAATTTCCGGAGCCCTCCACTACGGGGTCTCTCATAACCATATGATGGTTTTGGGACGTTAAACCTTACATATCAACCAATGAATTCGTCATCACTTCCCTTTACGAGCTCATCCGTATGATATACTATAGAAGGTTATAATGTGCTTTACGCACTTCAATTCCTTCCCTCATCATTTTCACATCACTCCTGATACCCTCAAATTTCTTTTCCACTCTCTTGTTATACTATACTATACAAGGCTATGCTGTGCTTTACCCTTTCTCTTCTTTTTTTCCTCCTCGTCACCCTTACACCACTCTACTCACCCACACTTCTATTTCCAGCCCCCTTGTAATACGTGCTATGCTATTCTAATATATGCTATGCTATGCTATACGTGCTATGCTATTCTTTGCCTGTTCCCCTTCATTTATCCACCTTACCCTCACTTCCCTTCGCCCCCTTGCCATACTATACTGTACGTGGCTTTGCGTTGCCGTACCTTCTCTCCCCCCACTTCTAATCGTCCTCACCCCCAGATCACTCCTGTTCTGCATTTTCTCCCATTGCTGTATACCATACGATACATGACTACGATACTTATCCACATCGCACAGCTGCGCCGAGTTTTGAGCAGTCGCCGATCATGAACAGACCACAAGCTTAAAAGCTCCGCTGATAATATTATTACGAGGCAGTGGGCATGGCTCTACCGTCGTGGACAACAGTTCGATAAAAAGGAAGTGGACTCGCCGCGCGAGAGACTGGCAGCTCTGAAGCGTCACTTTGGCATGTAAATATAGGAAATACGCTCATTCCTCTCTTCCGTGTGTTTGCGAGCTCCGTAACAAATTGGTGGGAGTGCTGGGTAACGAAGCGCCATACAACGGAGCTCCGCAGTGGTCGTCAAATCGGAGTTTCCGTGATGGAACACGGGACTGATCCCACGGCCACCTCTCCATCGGCTTCGGCGACGCCCGCACCATCCACGGCAACGCCTCCACTGGCCCCACCCCCACCCACGTACGTGCTGACGCATCCGAAGCATCCTGGAACGTTCTGCGGTACGGACCAAGTTGATGTCGACGACTGGATAGCCGACTACGAACGCACCAGTGCTCTCAACCGGTATGATCCGACTCTTATGCTGGCCAATGTGCTGTTTTACCTGAAAGGCACGGCCAAAGTCTGGTACGAGAACCATGAGGAGGAGATCGGCAGTTGGGACACCTTCAAGGAAAAGCTTCGCGACTTATTTGGGAAGCCCATCGGTCGAAAGGCGGCTGCAAAGAAGGAGTTGTCTATACGTGCTCAGACGTCCACAGAGCCGTATATCTCATATATACAGGACGTGCTGGCTCTATGTCGTAAAGTTGACAACGACATGTCGGAGTCTGACAAGGTTGGCCACGTCCTCAAGGGCATAGCGGACGACGCGTTCAACCTGCTAATGTGCCGGAACTGTGCGACCGTCGACGAAATTATTGAGGAATGCCGGCGTTTTGAACTGGCCAAAAGCAGGCGGATTTCAAGATCATTTACTCGACTGCCGAACACCGCAGCGACGTCCTCCTGCGAAGATGGACTGTCCTCCCATCGGCAGTCTTCACCAGCGTCTGAAATTACGCGAATTGTCCGGCGGGAAATCGAAGCAATTACACCTACTCTTCCCGCCAACGGCCACGTCGATTTGCAAGTACCTCAGGTTTGCTTGGTACAGTCGATTGTGCGGGAAGAACTGAGCAATTTGGGCTTCGATGTCTGCGCCGTTGCTCAGTCTCGACCAATTGGCTTCCGTTCAAGGTCGCCGCCTCGCCCAGGTCACCACCCCAAGAAAGGTCTTATCCACGCTCTCGCAATCCGGCCGAATGGAGAACTGCGGATGATCGGCCGATCTGCTTTAACTGCCGCCGCATAGGTCACGTCGCACGGTATTGCCACAACCATTGGTCTTCGTCCCGAAACCAGTATAACACTGCTCGCCGCACCGATAGCTACCGTCGTTTCCAACCTCCTGAGCCGATCGCCGACAACTACCGCCGGCCTCTGCCCGTCGATTCCTACGCCTGCGATGCCCCTGATACGCAGCACAGCCGCTCACCGTCGCCTCGACGTCACCAGTCTCGTTCGCCGCCAGGACGTCGCCCGTCGTCCCCTTCTCCTCTACGACGACGCCCGACCTCCCCGCTCAATTCTCACCAGGGAAACTAAGCGGTGCAGCTCTTGGAGGTGAAGCTGCATCCTCGGTACCGACCTCAAATCCTCTCCTTGTACTGCCGACACGACGAAATTTGATCGACGTCGACGTTGACGGCCTGACTGTTTCTGCACTTGTTGACACTGGGGCGCATATTTCTGTGATGAGTGCCCGACTTCGTCGCCGCCTGAAGAAAGTGCTCACACCGGCTGCCCCTGGCGTTATTCGTGTCGCCGACGGAAGAAGTCTTGCCATCACAGGAATGTGCACAGCACGCATCACTATCGCCGATCACCCCACATCTGTTCTCTTTGCAGTTATTGAGCAGTGCCCAAATGACCTAATTCTTGGTTTAGATTTCTTGTCCACCCATGCTGCTCTCATCGACTGTGCAACCGGCGTTCTTCAACTTGAACTGCCTCGACTTGGACCTGTGCCGTCCTCACCGTCACACCGCTTGTGCGCTGTTGATTATGTTCGGCTGTCACCGCAAGCCACCACGTGTGTTGCCTTAACGATATCACCAGCTCTTCCTGACGGTGACTACATAGTGTCTCCATTGGTGGATGTGCTCTTGGCTCGAAGTGTTGCTGTGCCGCATACAATCGTGACTATTGTGGACAACTACGTTCAGCTTCCGCTCCTTAACTTCAGTAGTTCGACCCAAGTTCTCCCGCAAGGCATTTCGTTAGCCCACGTTTCCCCACTTGATGCATGTAGCATCGTGGCATTGGACCCTGAAGACTGTTCGTCCCCTACTGCAGCCAGCCGAGCAAACGCACCTAGCGACGAAATCACGATGATGATCGCCCCTGATCTTCTGCCCTGTCAGTTGGCGCAACTTCACCACGTTCTGACTACCTACCGAGATATTTTCGACTTCGATGACCGCCCTTTAGGGCAAACGTCCTTCGTGCGTCATCAAATACATACCGGCGATGCTAATCCTGTTAGACGGCGACCGTATCGTGTTTCCAGTCCGAACGCCAGGTCATACAACGAGAAGTCGAGAAAATGCTCTCCAAAGGAGTCATAGAGGCCTCTTCAAGTCCATGGGCGTCACCTGTTGTTTTAGTGAAAAAGAAGGATGGCAGCTGGAGATTTTGCGTTGACTACCGTGCCTTGAACAAGATAACCCGCAAAGACGTATATCCGCTGCCACGAATCGACGACGCCCTTGATTGCCTTCATGGCGCGCGATACTTCTCATCTATTGATCTGCGTTCGGGCTACTGGCAAATTTCTGTCGACGACTTAGACCGAGAAAAGACTGCCTTCATCACACCGGACGGCCTTTATCAGTTCAAGGTTATGCCTTTTGGGCTGTGCAACGCCCCGGCAACGTTCGAACGCATGATGGACTCTCTTCTTCGTGGTTATAAATGGTCCATCTGTCTTTGCTACCTCGACGATGTGATTGTTTTTTCCCCAACATTTGAAACTCACTTAACTCGTTTGTCGACCATTTTAGCCGTTTTTCGTCGAGCAGGACTCCAGCTGAACTCGAAAAAGTGCAATTTCGGCCGACAACAAATCACGATCCTTGGTCATCTGTAAGTGCTGCTGGCGTCCGACCTGACCCTGACAAGATTAGCGCTGTCAAGAATTTCCCTCTGCCTTCTTCAACCAAAGATGTTCGGAGTTTTGTGGCTTATGCTCGTACTTCCGCCGCTTTATACGCGATTTCGCTACAATTGCACGACCACTAACTGATCTTCTCAAAAAGAACGTGCCCTTCTCGTGGGGCCAAGACCAAGCAGCTGCGTTTTCCACGCTGATCGACCTGCTCATTTCACCACCAATACTGGCTCACTTTGACCCGTCTGCGACGACTGAAGTACGCACAGACGCCAGTGCTCACGGAATCGGCGCCGTCCTCGCTCAACACCAGGGAGACCAAACGCGTGTTATTGCGTATGCCAGCCGCCTTCTCTCCACATCTGAGCGAAACTATTCGATAACAGAGCGCGAGTGTCTTGCGTTGGTCTGGGCTGTAGCGAAATTTCGCCCCTACTTGTAGGCCGCGAGTTTTCAGTTATTACGGACCACCACGCTCTGTGTTGGCTGTCGTCGCTCAAGGACCCAACTGGTCGCCTAGGTCGCTGGGCTCTACGTCTCCAGGAGTATAACTTCGACGTAATTTATAAGTCGGGCAGGTTGCACCAAGATGCTGATTGTCTCTCGCGTTATCCGGTGGACCCTGCTAGCCTCGCTGTCCATGAAGGCGATTCTTGTGTGCTCGCCATATCTGATTTGCACGACATCGGCACAGAGCAGCGCCGGGACGCAACCCTCAAGAAGGTCATTCAGCGAGTATCTTCAGGACATTCCGACCCTTCTCTCCGTCAATATGTCCTTCGCAACGACATTCTGTATCGTCGCAACATGAAGTCTGATGGCCCGGAATATTTGTTAGTTATTCCCCAACACATGCGTGCCACTATTCTCAACATCTGCATGACGCACCGACGGCGGGACACCTGGGTTTTTCACGCACCTATCACCGCGTGCGGCAACGGTTCTTTTGGCCTGGCATGTATAAATTTGTGCGCCGTTATGTCGCTGCTTGCGAGCGCTGCCAGCGTCGGAAACGTCCTGCTCTCCGTCCGGCTGGCCTGCTCCAACCTATCGACATTCCCCCGGAACCATTCTTCCGCATCGGCCTCGACTTGCTCGGACCTTTCCCGACGTCCGTGTCAGGCAACCAAGTGGATCGCTGTCGCAACCGACTATGCGACCAGATACGCGATAAACTCGTGCATTGCCAACTAGCTGCGCTACAGACCGTCGCAGACTTTCTCCTAAATGACGTCATTCTGCGGCATGAGCTCCGCGCCAGCTTTTGACGGATCGGGGCCGCTGCTTCCTCGCAAAAGTTATCGACGAAATCCTCCGGAGCTGCTCTACCGAACATCACCTTACTACTGCCTACCATCCCCAGACTAACGGTCTCACGGAGCGTCTCAACCGAACTCTTACAGACATGTTGTCTATGTACGTCTCTGCTGACCACCGTGACTGGGACGCAATGCTCCCCTACGTTACATTTGCATATAATTCGTCAAGACATGACACCGCCGGCTACTCTCCATTCTTTCTTTTGTACGGCTGCAACCCTGCGTTGCCATTCGACACACTCCTTCCTTCTGCTACTATCCAACCAACGGTGTATGCGCAGGGACGCTGCTTCTCGAGCCCGCGTCGCTCGCCAAATCGCGCACACTCGGCTCAGTGCTTCTCAGGCCGCACAAAAAGTCCGCTACGATGGACTCGCACCGCGACGTTGACTACCCTGATGACTCTCTTGTCCTACTCTGGACGCCGTATCGACGTGAAGGTTTGTGCGAGAAGCTCCTCCCACGATACACAGGACCCTACAAAGTTCTCCGCAAGGTCACCGACGTCGACTACCTCATCACTCCCGTTCAACCGCACTCATCCTCTGCTACACCATCTACTGATGTTCATGTGTCGCGCCTAAAGCCCTACTATACTGCCAGTCCTGATTGACTTAGGGGCGCCGTGACGGCGCTTTGTTCGCCGGGGGTGATATTACGAGGCAGTGGGCATGGCTCTACCGTCGTGGACAACAGTTCGATAAAAAGGAAGTGGACTCGCCGCGCGAGAGACTGGCAGCTCTGAAGCGTCACTTTGGCATGTAAATATAGGAAATACGCTCATTCCTCTCTTCCGTGTGTTTGCGAGCTCCGTAACAATATGTCTAGTGCCACGTGTACCGTATGACATAGGTATCGGTAAGGTCACCCCGTGGCTTGTTTTCTCGTGGCTAGGGTTCGGTTACATCACATGGTATCAGAACTGGGAGTACCACTGTATCGCACGACCGGTGATGAGGGGTGCGCTCTGGTGTTACTATCTCGCGAGAGCGTTTTGAGGCTCAATCTATTGAGACAGGACCTCAGTATAAATTCCATAGTTTATAGACTACATTTCCACACCAGCTCACTCAAGAAGACACCGTCTTTCACCATCATAAGTAGACACTGAATGATGTTTCATATTTTTTCTGCACGGCCGATAATCTTTTTTCAAATGCAAAGCATTTCTTAGCGAACTTCGGCGACATTGAGCATATCTATCTATCTATCTATCTATCTATCTATCTATCTATCTATCTATCTATCTATCTATCTATCTATCTATCTATCTATCTATCTATCTATCTATCTATCTATCTATCATCTATCTATCTATCTATCTATCTATCTATCTATCTATCTATCTATCTACTATCTATCTATATCTATCTATCATCTATCTATCTATCTATCTATCTATCATTATCTATCTAATCTATCGATCTATCTATCTATCACACGCCCAAAACATGATAATCATGGACATGCGGGCATTTAAAACGTGACTACATGCTACGCTCATAGTGCGCTCGCGGCCGTTACGCTAGCTTCACATATACCAAATTTGGCGTTACATGACATCAATGGATGACGAAGGTATATGACTGGTGCAAACACGATAATCATGACAAGTGTGTCATGTAAGAACATGACTACACGCCATGCTCATGATGCGCTCGCGGCCGTTTCACTAGCCTCACATATATGAAATTTGATATTACGGGACGTGAATGGATGACGAAGGTATATGACTGGTGCAAACATGATTATCATGAGATTCGTGTCATATAAGAACATGACTACATGCCAGGCTCAGATGCGCTTGCGGCCGTTTCGCTAGTTCCACATATACCAAATTTGGTGTTACGTGATGCCAATGAATAATGAAGGTATGTGACTGGTGCGAACATGATAATCATGATATGTGTGTCATGTGAGAACATGATAATATACCAAGTTCATGATGCGCTCACGGCCATTTTGCTAGCTTGACATATACCAAATTCGACATTACGGGACGTGATTGGACGACGAAGGTAAATAACACGTGCAAACATAATAATGATGACATGCGTTTCATGTAAGGCATGACTACATGCTAAACTCATACCGTGCTCGTGGCCGTTTCGCTAGCTTCACGTGTACCAAATTTCGTGTCACGTGACGTGAATAGATAGATATGTGGGGTTTAACATCCCAAAACCACCATATGATTATGAGAAACGCCGTAGTGGAGGGCTCCGGAAATTTCGACCACCTGGGGTTCATTAACGTGCACCCAAATCTGAGCACACGGGCCTACAACATTTTCGCCTCCATCGGAAATGCAGCCGCCGCAGCCGGGATTCGAACACGCGACCTGTGGGTCAGCAGCCGAGTACCTTAGCCACTAGACCACCGCGGCGGGGCACGTGAATAGACGACGAAAATAAACGACACGTCCAAACATGATAATAATGACACGTGTGTCATGTAAAACATGACTACAAGCTATGCTCATAGGGCGCTCGTGGTCGTTTCGCTAGCTCCACATATACCAAATTTGGTATCACATGTCTTGAATAGACCACGAAGATAAATGACACACACAAAAATGATAATCATGCCATGGAAGTTATGTACGGCATAATTTACGTCCGCCTCGTAACGTTGTGCTGATATTAAAGTGACATATCAACCTTCCACATTCGTGCTTCGCCTATGATTGATTCCCACTGTACGTGGGATGTGCCATTTTTCTGTTACAAAGAGTACGTCGAAATTAGGAATGGTATTGCTGAGTTTGTACTTGGGTCGCCAGCGGGATAGATAGCATTTGATTGCGCCCCTAGAACGCCGTAGTCGAAAATTGCGAGTGTAAGGTGCGGCGACAAAGCTACCTGCTGATATGTAATCTTTCAGTACCCTCCCGTGAAGCGTTTTTTCGCCTCGTAGTAGTCTATGGAATAGATAGATAGATATGTGGGGTTTAACGTCCCAAAACCACTATATGATTATGAGAGGCGCCGTAGTGGAGAGCTCCGGAAATTTAGACCACCTGGGGTTCTTTAACGTGCACCCTAGTCTATAGAATCATGTAATGCTAAAGAAGGTGCTTTTAGTTTCATATGCCTCATTTTTAGCTTGGCTAACGTTCGCTCTCACGTGCTGTCAGTACAGTACAATGAATAATGAAAAAGAATATATTTACATCTCAATTGTTTGCTTTGAACCCATGTGAACAAGGTCCCTGCATGTACGTGCATTTAACGCACCTAATCAACGTACCATGTGGACTATGCTATTTATTTATTTGTGCGTGCGCGTGTGTGTGGGTGCTTGTATGTGTGTGTGTGTCGAGTGGTTCGCGGGGTCTTTCGACATGCATACCTACGGCGGCAGTCACAGGGATAAAGATGACACGCATGAATGCCACCGAAACAAAATATGGACGCCACACGAGATGCCCTCCCCCTTCTGTCATACTGAGGGCAGATTCATTGCGTTTGACACGAACCTTGCTTATCTTGTATGGCACGGTCGCTGGATCTGGTGTCGCAAGTTCCTCCCTGGACGTTTCTGTGCCAGACAGAGTCGCCTCAGAGTCTGAATAGTCGGGAGCTGTCGAAGCGAGGAAGCAAAGAAAAAAGTACAGTCACACACCGGCTCACTCATGGAAGCTGAATATCCGAGATATGGGGAAGTTTTGTTTGTAGTGTCGTGTAACGAAGTCATGAAAAAATGACAAAATATACCATTCACATCTCAGCAACAAAAGAGGACCTAATGTAGAGACCACATGCCAACCTACACTTTGCAGCATCTGTTAAATCACAAACAGGAAAAAAACATTTATCGGCGTCACTGAATGCTCATTGCGCCTTATGCCTATGATTTTTCAAAATTTCATGGCGTTGCTCCTATTTTTATTTTTGGGTATTAATACCAAGTACGCAAAGGTGAAAGCTGCTCTAGAGGTGGTTTTAAAAGCATGGACGCCACTCATATAGAAAAGATAATTTTTTGAAGGTACTTCACGAATACAGTATGAGTGACGAGCAGCATCAGCGTGTAGTATCTGCTCCGCACTCAGCGACAGAACGAGGTAGCTTACGAGAGAAAGTGAAAGAGAGAGAGAGAGAGGCTAGCCAAACGATGGCTGAATACCTAGCTCTATAGATGAAAAGGATGACAAGTGTAGTGATACGCCCAGGGAACACCACAGATGCACAAAACCCAGCACAAAGCAGGCAACTTTTTACGAAAATTTGTTCTGTCACTGATTGCGGAGCAGATACTACACGGTGATGCTGCTCGTCACTCATACGGCATTCATTACTGTTATTTGTTTCAGATCTTTGGGCAATATTGACAGTGGTAAACTGTTGTACTGCTATTCACTAATTTCTTTTCTGAACTATAGACAAGCCATGCACAGGACTAAAAAAGGACTCTAGCAGCCTCAGCGTTACGGGCTGAACAAAGTATTGCTGCTATTGATAGTCAATTTACAGAGTTTTGCATCACTGTTATATTTATGATTTTACGTGTTACCTGTCAGAGCGTTGCGGAGAACCGGACGTTTTGAAACACCCGCATAGATGTCAAGTAGGTCGACTACGGCGTTGAACATACCTGGCAGGCAGACACGAAAGTACCTAAAAACGTACACTCTACGTGCACGTGCACACTCCCCAAGTAGAATAATGAGGTGAATGTATTTTCACACAACCCAGATGGGCACTGCTGCATACGTCTTTTCTTTTTCTTTTCTTTTTCTGATATAAATTTGTCTTAGAATCACGCTGTATACATGCGCCGTTCAGGCAAGGCCAACTGTTTTTGCAATTAACAATGAGTGAAAGAAAAAAAGCCATAGCTTTGCCGCAAAGGCGAAGCAATGAACGCGATAGCAACAAATCGGAAGGTCACGCGCAGAATCGCAAGCATATTGAAACGTGCCCCGCGTTTCTCACGCACAAACGATGCACGAAACGTACTCACAGGTACAGATCAACGCGAATAAGCGTCTCAGTTGTTACTCCGCTGTGTCTGAAAAGCGCGCCTTTTTCTCAAACGGAGGCTGTTCAATGATTGCAGTGACCTTTGTGCGCCCAGTGACTACAACAGAATTGTTCCGACGAAATCGTTCCCCAAAAGGCTAGCCAAGACGTACGATTCTCCCCACTGCAAGATAAGGGCATGCGATCGAGTGTAAACCACCTTATTTTCTACGCAGGCCAAAGTACGCATGAGAGATGAGAGCCACCACGCGCTCACTGCGTCATCTTGCTGATAATGCTGAAAACACGATAGTCCCCTCCTCCCCAAGACGCCCACCAACAGCGGTAAGTGGTACATATGAATAGCTTGCCGTTTGAACGTTGAAGGAGCTACCTCTCGGTGGCTCAGTGGTTAACGACTTGCATTCCCGACTTGGAGGTCCCACGTTAGATTCCGTGTGCCGACGCCCACGCCTATGCCCACACCGACGCCGGCGATGAAATTCAGTCGAGAGTGTCCATATAATTGCTATCGCAATAAAATGACTTTGACAGGCTCCCGTTAGCGATGCTGGCGGGGGCGGTCGTGCAACCGGGGCGATGCAATGAGCTGCAGCCACACGACTGATATCAGGTTTTGTGTGGAACGTAATCTCAGGCAAATGCGAAGAAGTTTTTGTCGCTCTCTCATTCCTTAAATATACACATTACGCGTTGGCCAATGTTGTTTTTGCCCATCCTGTCACTATAAATCAAAGCCTGTGTAGTAACCTAATCTATCATGCCGATCTGGATAGTCACGCACGTGTGAATACAAATAACTCTACCAAATCAAGAACATTAAACCAGTTAGGGCTTGTTAAACCCCGCAGTTTCTCCCTGCGCTAATTTAAAAACCAGTTCAATGGATTCACACCGTCCTTGTATGCAAAAAGGCGTACCCTCACAATTTTCTTCATTGACAAAAAATTTCTCCCCGCAGTAGCACCAGTAAGTAGAGCTACAGCCTTTGCGCATAAAATGTTGAGCACGTCGTGAAAGAGCGTTCCTATTCAAGCTCCCACAATGCACGACATTCTTCATGCTTTGTATTAACTGACCACATATATCTGTTTTCTACTATGAGGGAATTTCAGCCAGTGCTATGAGGGAATTTCAGCCAGAGCACACATATGTTATCATATTATTTTGTTATCATATGATTTTTTGTTGCACTGGTGGGTGTGTATACATTTCATCCCTTCGCATTATTTAAACGAGTATTAATAATTGATCAAATGTTTTAAAAGTATGGCGTGAGCCTCAAATTTTTTGTAATGCCATTTTGAGGATATTTAACTACAAAGAAAAAAAATGAAGATGGAGCCCGAGCAAGTTTTCTCAAAATATATGACATCGCAGGGTGCATTGGTATGGAAGATTAAATGCAGTGCCGCATTCTGTCTTTTCCTTCTGTATTTCTTCATATCTACCGAGAATTTGGTTATTGGAAAAGAAAACAGAAAACAAAAGTAAAAAATAGGGTCATACATTCACACAAGTGAGGTGTTTTCTTTTTCTAAAAGAGCCAAATGCACTTAATATGAAACTGAGTAAAACGCACTTTTTTTTTTCTACTGACAATATGGTTAGGGCTGCTCAAGTAAAATTTTTCCAGTATGTTTATTTCCCATAAAACCACAAATCTATATTGTGGTCAAAATGTGCATAGCGAAATATCGTCAGTATTGTGGAGTAAAGTTTGTATTTGACCTATATCGATTGAAACACTTCATTTGGACATGAATTAGCTCGTGAAATAAATGTAAAACGTTTAGAATGTACAGTATGGCGATATTTCGCGATATAATTGACATAATACTTGTGCTTCCGTTGCTGCCGTGCTTCGACGCATGGGCGTAATGGCGATTACTAGACTTGAAGAACGAGTGGTTCTTCCTGGCAAAAGGGGGACTATTCAGGACTGTCTTCAGTGTTTTATAGTTCCTGGCATCAATTGAAAGCCTTGAAAAGTGTTCCAGTTAGTTTTATGCCGTACAATTTCTGACCACTTCTTCTTTAGCGAATAGATGAATGTCCGATAACTTTATTTCATGCCTATTTTATTTCAAATATACCACGTTGGAGTGAACTGAGGACAAAATACTGTGCTAAAGTTGAAAAGAATCACTAAGATGCAAAAAGAAGTAGACAAGTCAGCCGTTTACTCTTTGTAATTGAGTTTTGTCATTAACTATCATGTCCTTCAGTAAGTGCCAACTCGCGCTAAGAAACCTGATTGTGGAACTTAAACACGATGACAAAGTAACTAAGACACAAATAAAACATTTTGGGTGGAACCATGTCGGTTGTTTTGGTGATGTTCGTAGGCGCAGTGCTGGATTAATGAATGTGGCTCACTTTGATTGAAACAATTGGAGTACTTGGCTAATTTTTTTATTACAAACTGCCTTTTAGAGCTCTTGTTACAATAAGGAATTGCTCCATTTTGATTATAACTGTTCTAGATATTGAAGATACTTGGGCATTGTTTACATTCCACTGAAATTTAGCCTAGTTTAGGTTTCTGCATTTGGCGCTTTTAGAAAAAAAAACGCCACAAGTGACAATCACACTGAAAAGAGCAAACACACCTTCATGAACCCACTTGTGAGAGCGTTTAACCCTCTTGAAGAACATGTTGGCGCCTCGAGATTTCCGGTTGGTGTCCGCCGAAAGAGAATCTGCAATTTTGCGAGCTAGCTCTACTTGTTCTTCTACCGTGGGGTAAATGCAGTTAGGTTCCTCGTAGAAGCTTGACGAAGAGAAAGTTTTTTCTGCAGACGGGAAGAAAGAAACAAAACAAAGAGTCGCGTTTCATTCCAAAGCGACGTTTCCGTTTACACGCCAACCTAAGAAAAAAAAAAGAAAGAAGAGAGGGGCGGGCAGAAGACTGGAGTGCATTGTTGCATCTAGTTTTGCAACGAATAAGACAAGTCTTTCTTGAACGGGGTGCGTTGCGCAACGTTATCATTTTTATGTCACGTGTGGGACAGATACCTCATTCGTCCCTTACGCGACATCCCTTCCCAAAGAAAATAAAAAAAAAACAAAGCAAAAATCGACAAAACTGCGCTATGGATATTGACATTCGCGCTTCGGAAACGCACACACTCGTTTCACAGTGATCCCTTGGCAGGTCATTTCCTTTGAGCCACTGGATGGGGCTCGCGAGTGCAATGCGAATATAAGGGGGTGCAGAACCAATGGAAGCATGCCACTTTTGTCCAAGACCTGAATTTCTGAAAATTTGGTTAGCTTGCCAAACCAGAAGAATAAGGTCTTGTACATAGAATAATGTAGCATAAAGAGTGCAACTCATTATGTAACAGTGCCCGTCGATGGGAGTTTTTGACCGCTTGAAGCTTGAAGCTTTTGAGGCTCCAGCAAGAAAAAAAAAGCGCTTTTATATTCTACCTCAATTATTAGTGCGTTGCCTTCACCTTAGGTTGTTCTACAAATGGACACCAGCCTAGCAAATGGTAGATACGCCCAGATACACATTCTCTTTCTAAGTTTTGGGTGTATACCTAGAAAAAAAAAGATATATATTTAGAGAGGACTCCAATTTGCTTGTCACACGAATAACGTTTACTGATTAGTGGTTGTTTAGTAATTTTGCAAAATACATTGGATCTGTTCACATCAGGTTGGGGATGTTAATGAGGTATATGAATAACTTCTACTAATCGGTTCTCAAGCATAAAATTTCATGTTTATCATGTTGTGACAATCTACTTACATGGTCCTGTATAGCTTCATTGTATTTGGTAAGTACGCCCATTCTAAAACTCTGCGCATCCCAATGTTAACACTTGACCTTTTTCTTGCCAAGACTCGAGCAGCAATATAACCACCTCTAGTGTTCAGCAATATAGCCACCTCTAGTGTTCTGTTACAACAAGCAAGAAGTATAAGGAACAGATGAGATATACGTAGCATTGCTTTGTTTCTTTTTTTCACATTTCACAGCCCTCATTTTGAGTATGATAAGTTTTTATCCGCATGGTCTGAGGTAGCCTCGAGCGTGCAGCACATAAAAAAATACAAAGCCACAACCGGTCACTGCTGAATGAGGCCTTACTCCTGTGGAAGCTGAGTGGGTGCACGTCCATTGTGGAGTTCTGCGCAGGCGGCTCGTAAAACTTAGGCAGCAGCAGGAGCCCCGTAGGACTCAGCAGCGGACTGTCCCGCGAACCTGCAGCCTGTGGCGCCGGCTGCCCACTGGCTTCCTGCGCATGCGCGGAGAAAGAAGAAAGCGCGCGTCGGACAAAACCGCGAAAAAGGCAGGTGGTAGCTAGCGCTACCTACGGCCACAGCATGAACGCATCTGAGGCAGTAAAGTTAGGTATTGGACAGCACATAATGTGCAGGCTCTTCCATGCATTCAATAACAAGCCAGTGGCACAAGCGGCAAGTGATGTGGAGGACGTGACCCGCGAATGCTAGGAATTTCAGGGTTTGCTCGCATGGCTACGAAAGATATAGTTGCTTTCACTGCATGCCTATGTACTTGCGCAAGCGTGTTGATGTCAGTACGAATGCAATACATTATTGCTCCCAAGCAGCTTTTTACAGTGAAAGCTGTTACGAGATCATCACTCGGCTCTCGCGCAGCGCTGTAGCTGTCCGCCGCCGCTGCCGGCGGTGTTCCTACCTACATCGCGCGAAATTAGCAAAAAATTAAGCACTCTACACTTTTTTATTTATTTGCCTTGACTCTCTTTTCAAAAGTTCAACAACGCGGGGAATAAATCTGGCACGGCTGGCAGATTTGCGTCCCCGCATATGACAAGAAAAATACGCTTGACACTATTCCTATATTCACATGAGTGAATGTAAACTGTTAAAAAAAATTAATGAAAATAAAAGGTTGAAGAAAGATTATTTTTCGTGTGCAGGAGGACGTAGTGAATAACATCTAAAGATAGAAATGAGGTTAAAAGCAAAACACGTAAATAAATAAACAAACGAGTTGCAGCAATGCTATTATCAAAGAAGAGTGACATGAGTATATAATACATGCAGTATTGCTAATAATTGTAAGCGGCATGTATAATGAGAAAAAAAAGCAAGGCAGCAACCCACAGGTTATCCTTGTGAAAGTCATAGAGCAAAATGAAATTAGTATATCCATAGGACCATTCCACAGACTGAGCTAAGCGAAGAAGAATTTTTTCACAGATAATTCGTTTTCACTTTGCGCAGACAGTGAGAGTTATTCGAGTTGAAAATAGATTTATTTGATTGATATGTGGTGTTTAACGTCCCAAAACCACCGTATGATTATGAGAGACACTGTAGTAGAAGGCTCCGGTAATTTAGACTACTTGGGGTTCTTTAATGTGCACCCAAATCTGAGCACACGAGCCTACAGCATTTTCGCTCTCCATTGAAAATGCAGCCGCCGCAGCAGGGATTTGATCCCGTGAACAGCGGGTCAGCAGCCGAGTACCTTTGCCACTAGACCACCGCGGCGGGGCCGAGTTGAAAATAGAGCTCAGCTGTTTGTGGTAGTGCTATATAGAAGACTGCGCGCTTGAAGCCTGCTGCACTGTCGCGAGCCGTCGGCGTCTTGTTTTGATAACAACAAATTTTGTCAACTTCCGGACACGAGCCAAGCAAGACGAGCATGGTGTGGGTGCGTGCGCAACGGTGCATGCGCCGAAATAAAATGAGAGAAAATGGAAAAGTCAGCTGTGTCGTAACCTCCACAAATCTGAGCAGTGGTGTCGGATAAGCGGTCGGGGAGGGAGTCGCAGGCGGCTCACCTTCTCACTTGTGCGACCGTGCTCTCTTGCGCGGATAGAGTGGATCTTTCGCCTCCCCTTTCTCGCGTCCCGGCCACTCTACAGATCAGCTGCGTTTTCATCTCGATTCATCGAGGCTCGCAAGCCGCGAGGGAAGTTTTAGCGGGCCGCGGCACGACGTCCTGCGCGCTTCTTGCTGTCGTTTTTGGTGGCCTCCGAGGGCTGAAGGTGGATTCAAGGAAAGCGTGGAAGAGGAGGCGACTGTCCTGGCTCCCCCTGAAAAGAAGCAGCCAGCCGGCGGGTACACAAAGAGGAAAGGACGGCTGTGGCTACGGTCCAGAAGTTGTTCACGACTAGTCAGCAGTGTAGCGGGCTTCTCAGAGGGCGGCGCTGGCTGCACTCGACCCACGCTGTGCTCCGGAAAAAAAAAAGAGCGCCGAAGGAGGGGAACGACAGCGGTGAATTCGGCCCGAAATAAACGGACCGCTTCTGCGGTCGGAGTGCGGCGGGCCCATCGTGACTGTGCCATCAAGTCGCTGACAGGAAACTTGCAGGCGCCTCTGAGTGTTTAATAGGCGCGCCCGGTGTTGAATCTCAAGACATACAGCGGCAGTTTCTGCGTCTCTTATCATTCATTTCTTTAAGGAGAGAGAGAGTGAGAGAAAAGGCCACTTGCTGCCTCGAACTTATTTTGTTTCTTTCTTTTTTTTTGCTTATGTTGACCTTAGTTGTCACCTGCGTATATAAATTTGAATGGCGTAGTTCAACTGTTGTATTTGATTAAGCACACAAATGAGCAAATGGTTGACCTTGCAGGCGTAGTTGTGTTATGTAATGTCAACCAATCGGCCTGATTTCAAGCCTGACCTCGACCACGGCAAAGAAAACTACAAGTGTAAATAATTTCGAAATTGGCGAAATAACATATACAAAGGACCATGTGTTATTGGGGGACGTAAGTCGTGATCTTCGTGATTTCACTGAAAAAGTGGTGGTGCCGAGAGTGCCTCCCACCATCTAGCCTAAAGATGGGCACTGGCGTGTATTCTTCATATGAAAGTGTATCGAGTCTTAAGCACGTGATTTGTTCGTTAGATCAAACAGATACGAAGAGAGGGACAAGTCATCGTTAACTAGGACAAAAAGATCCGCTTTGTCGTTCCACAATGGGGGACAAAATACGTAGAAATTTAATGCAATACAGAGATCGAGGTTTACAATCACCCCGACCACATATCCCTGCACAATCTTACAGTTAACTATCTCACTTCGAAGACAAATTATTGATATAGTAAGCTGCTGTGGAATGCCGAGCTCAAACTGTCACAGCAGAGAGTGACGAAGACATTTGTAGAACTCGTTAAGGTCGACACGTCTACATTCCAGCACTGCTGGAAAACACTTTGAAAACTCACGTATTTAAATAGTCAAAACAACTGCCGCGTAATATTGTATAGGGATTGAAAGGCAAATATTAGTATCATTGAAATAACCGAGTCAGTTCTGCCGCAGAATGACCCGTAAAGGTTCATTTAACGTTCTTTTTCAAACTACCACTCATTTATGATTCTTTCCACGCACAATGATTGAGTTAGTTGTTGTCAACGTAATTAAAAACTGACGTAGTAGTCGTTCTTTATGAATGAAAATATGAAATCACGCAAACTGTCCTGGACAAGTTTGGCACACGACAGAAAATTGTCTTTTTACAAAAGTTGTTCTAAGATTTTTTTTCTTGTTGTGGCAGAGATGGTTTTTACACCTTCACCCGCCGACGCCAGAATGGTGTATATGACGCTATGCTATTCTGGTTAACTGTGCTCTTCGTTTGTCTCGTTCTGTCTGCAGAGAACAGCAGTTTTACAGGTCAGAGAGAAAGAAAGCGTGCTTGGACAGGACTTTGCGTGCCACGGCAATAAAAGTTTGCTATTTCAGCCCGCCAATAAACTGATTTAGTCTGCTGCTTTCGTTCTAACTTATTTACTCATCCTCAGTTTACTCTTCTTTTTCTATCGAAGACTCACTGTTGTTCTGGGGCGTTCGCAAAAATTGGAGCAGGTTTCTCCAAACGATCTCACATGTTCTAGTCAAGCACAAAAAGTTTGAGAGAGCTTGCACGTTCCCATACTGGGTGCTGTTAACTGACTGACTCGCGCTAAGAGCGGGATAACAAGCAGTCCACAATACCGAAAAAAGAAACAGGTTCGCGCAGCTTTCATGGACAAAAAAAAAAGAGCTTGCAAAGAGCGGCTCACAGAAGGCTGATGGTTTGCTACTCGAGATGAGGTGCCAGGACAAGCTGAAGTAAAAAGAGAGAAAAAAAAGGAACGAATCGCGTGCACGCATTGAAAGCTGTAGGGGGACTTCAGAATGGTAAAGTAAACCTGCTTACTGCAAAAAATTTTCTAGAGCACGATTTGTTTTTGAGCCAGCGATGGTCATACGCTATGGTCCGAGTATATCTTTCTCAGAAAATTTTCAGAGTTCTGTAACTTTACTTTTGTCATTAAATATGCGCTGTGTGTTTTAGTTGAATTGAAAACAAGTGCACTAAACACGTTCAATGTCTTGTTATGAATTACGCCAATCACATGTTAGTGAGACTGCGTGTCAAAGACAGAGAGACCGTAAATACGGAACTACTGCCTGTTACTGTTTGAACAATGGCTTATTTCAAGTGGCTGCTCAAAGACTGTGGTCCAGATGGTCTTAAACTTTCCTAATGTTAAGGTACGTGAAAGTGCAATAACAGTCATACGAACTAAGTAGACGTTTCCTTACATATTCCATCATGTTCATTGCACGAGAGGCTGAAGGCTCATAATGATGTGCTATAGCACAAGACTGCCGCCCTGCTTTTTGACGTGCTCTCCGTGTTTGTGTATGCGTTTGCACGCGTGTGTGTGTGCTTCCTCTCTTGGTTTCTCTTTTGTTACTCTTCGTTCAATCTGCGCCATCCCTTTCCCCTGTGAAGGTTAGTGTACCAGTTATACTAAACTGGTAGATATTCATGCCTTTTTTCTCTATTTTTCTTGTTTTTTTCCCTTTTTCTGTAAATGTTTAGCGCAGCCGCCCACAAAGACAATTTCTTTGTGTTCACTGATCTATTTGAGGAATTTCTAAAAGACTGAGTCGGCACTGCATTTCCCAACGTGGGGATATCAAGTCACTAGAGTTGTTACCTGATTATAAAAAAAAAGTGGGAGCCTGAAAGTAGCAAACAACACGAAAATTGACATTATCTTAGAACGATAAGCCAGAAGAAGCACCGAAGGTGGTCATTCTTTGATGCTTCGCACAGCTTTGAAATGTTTAGCCTTACTTATATCAAATATTTGAACCAGCTTACTTAATTCTAAACATCATTGCCCTGATGCAAATGCTTGAAAACGAAGAAAGCTGGGAACAAAAAGGATTATCTAAAAAGAAGTTTTCTAGTTTTAACAGACGCATAGTGCAAACACTGCTAAATGCTTCCATAGGTGTACATATTTAAGGAGTCTTAACTTACGTCGTAGTGTATGCCTTTGCGACAAACATACAAAAAAAAGAACCTTAGATGTTGCAGTAGCCTGCGCTGAAGAGGTAACACATTATCTCTATTGGTTAGAGTTGTAATTATCTGAAAAGACCAATATTGTTTGAATATCGTTTAAATTTTGAGACAAACAATGGTGGAGGCGCCACATAGCTTAGTTGGCAAAAATCTAGACTTTAATTTATGCTTATTTTTGTTTTCCGAGCAACCTTTGTTGCAAGCTGTAGTTGCAACCACAGAGTTGTAGTAACTCTAGCCGAGAATAAATGATAAGAAAAACACATGATGCTGAACGCTGAAACCCAACATGCTGAAAGCCTGCTGTGCTTAGATGAACACTATTTGGCTCTGGTTTGCAAAGCTGAGCTCGCTTATAATACTAATTTACTTATTTCCAGTACTGCGTATTCTGCCAACATCATCTTCAGCTCTCGAAGTTTCCTTCTCGTGATGTGTCCCTAACGGTAAGTGTCTCCGGGACTCGGCGTGTTGCTGAGACCAAGTTCACTTACACTGGCACTGGAGCAAGGCCTCTCGGGAGGAAAACCAAAACGGGCCACGTCCGAGGCTAGCTCAGTGTTTAGCTTAAGCTTTGGCTTGGGCGCCGTGGGTGGTGGGGCTTTCTTGGTCGCGCTGCTGCTAGTGCTGGTCGAGCGGTTTGTCACCGTTGTAGTTGTGGAAAGTAGCGACCCGCCCGACGGCAGCTGCGAGGTCTCCTTCTTTGTCTCCGTCACACTCTGCACAGAATTCAATTAACAAAATGAGCACAATTTACTCTACCTGTGCGTTGCAGACTTAATGTGATACTCGCTTGGACTAATCGTGAAAAAAACTTACAAACGAAACAACGAAAGTGACGCTAATGTGCTACACTGTGGGAGATGTGCTTTAGAAACTGTCAGAATTACTCTATTAATTTGTGTTATTTCACTCTAATTCTGCACACTAGTGGGTTTCAAGCTCATTTTCCAATGACGAATGTGAGCTCGTAAATGTGCACTTTATCTGTAAAGCGTGCACCACTGCATACATTGTCTAAATGTGGTAAAACTAACGTAAAGGCTCCGCATTCACTATTTCAATGAAATGATCATTTTTTCACCTATCATCCAGTGTAATATTGTCGTCTTGTATGTGCTCTTCATAAACATTCATCAGAACCTCGTTCATACGTTTTTTCAAAAAAAAAAAGTACTGTATTGAAAAATGTAGGATCCGATTTCTCTCAAACATCGCACAGTATTGCTTGATAGTGATATCGCGAACGTTAAAACCGAAAAATCCTACGAAACAGAAACATGTCAATGATACTTGATGTTATACTGTATGCGAGTGATATTATACTGTATGCGAGTGATGTTATACTGTATGCGAGTGAGTGACAAAACCAAGAAGATATAACCGACTATCCTTACGGCCGCATATATTCACCTTCAAGGGCGGAGAGCAATAATTTGACGAAGCTTTCATTATTTGCATCCATAACCAATGTCAAGCATGTCTACTGTCTCAGTTTCTTACCCAGTGAAGCGGGCTAATACCGGAGATGGTATAAGCACAACCTGGCCTGTTCAGGAGACAATGTAATCAGCGGGCTTCGTGGGTCCTGTTTGCCGCGTGCTGATGTCTTCGCATCGTGCTTTCATTCCAAGCAGGCACGCATTGAATAACCTGACACATGCCGTGCAGAAAACGAATAGGTTATTTCACATACTTGAATACAATGAAAGGTTCATACACCATGCGCATTTTTGCGAATCAAAATCTCGAAGTGGTGTGAGCGACAATCAAACGTCTACTGCACTTGTTTAGGGAAATGGCCGTGGCTGACTAGAAGGTTGCCTTCTTGAAGATCTCCAACAATCTCATATATTGCTGCTGATGAAAGTAAGAAACGCACTTCCTAACAACAGGTCAATGAGGTGCTCAATAAGCCTTCATGTGCTCGTCTTACGCGCTTGCAGCATATGAGTATAGAGATATGGGAACATTTCTACAAAGACCGTGGAATATACAAGACAGAATAGTTCGAATATTTGTTGTTCAACTTTAATAAATAATAATTCACCTCTTCAAGCTTGTCTCAAGTTGTCACCGCCACGACTTACCGCTACATTTCTTTTACGGTAGTGGGAAGTCGTCACTCAGAGAACTTAAGCCGAGCTTATGCTTGTTATGCTTGTCTTTTGCTTGTTAATTCTTTTGTATTTATGATCTAAAATGCAAACGATAGCTATGCATGTGCAGGAATCCAGATGTTAACATATTTGGTTTGTACGTCCTTCCTGGCTCCTCTTTTGTCTTTGTTATTCCTCCACTGCCTCAGCGTAGGAAACCAGATTTTCCGTTTTGGTTTACGACGCTGCTTTTCTGAGTTCCTGATTTCTCGGAATTATATACATTTTTTGCCCGTTATTCGGGAACCTGATGTTTATCGCGATGTTTCAAGTGCCTAATAAGCTCGAGAATAAGTGTTAATTTTCAGTGCGTTAGTTTTAGCGTTTGGTAAATATGTTCGCAGCTTTCGTGCTTCAATCTCACCCTCCCTTCAGTCAGCGCTTCCTAGAACTTGAGCAGTAATCTCATAAATTGTAATTATATGTTCTATTTTTAATAGAAGACCATCACCGAGTGTAAGCACCGTGTTTAGTAACCGGTTACGAGATTGCAGAAGTGGGAAATAAAGCTACAGACGCTATATCAGCGATGAGTACTACTAAAATGGTTTAATGCGCCATTGATATAGTTTGGTTTAATGGTCATGATATGTACTATCATCTTCCTAAAAATCTATTCCTATAATGACGCTGTTTAATTGTGAAAATATTGTCCTAATGGAGACACATGGCACGAAATGTTTAGTACACGAAAGAAAAAAAAACGAAAAGAAAACGCCAGGTTTGCGCGAAACATGCAGCTCATTCAGAGCGAAAGCTGAAGCAGCAGCCTTTCTAGAGTCCATTCCACACTTTCTTGGGGCGACTATACTGCTAGTACACTTGCATGGCACTTGTTACGCCATAAATTAGCCTAGTTTTGGGAAGTAGAAAACCACCCACTACACCATAATTCATCATTCTACGAAGAAGTGAAGTGCACATCGGCAAGGCATTCTAAAGTGAGATCTTTTTGGGCAAGTTTATGCTTAGATTGCCGAGGTATGCTTGAATGTGGTACACCACAGATTTCACACCAAATTTTACAAAATGTATTCTGCGCCACAGTCAGCAATACTTAAGCAACCTGTAAGACATTATATATGGTGCACTTTGTTGATGCCATGCCTGATGACAACTTTTAAATAATAGCTCATACTTTTTAATTGAGGGGAGGGGAGTTAAAACACTCACTCGCTTCGCAATTCGCGTTTTGTGACACCTGGAGGTCATTTTGATTTTCTACCAGGCTATATTGAATCTGTTAGCGTGATGTCTCGTCCGACATGATGCCTATATAGTGTGTTCTTGCGAAGGGAGCTTCAAGCAGTTTTAGTGTGGCCTTGTGTAGCAATATTCAACCGCCACTCAGTGGGGCTGGGGTGAATCCCACTATATTTCGAATACTTATATATATTTCATTCTTTGCGATAGCGGTAACGCTTACCGATCACGAAGGCAGTGGACAACGTCACCAAAATCGGCTGTTGTGATCTCATAACAGCTTTCACCGTAGAGCGGGTAAACGTAAGCAGCTTGGAAGTAAGAAGGCGTTACTCTGTGTTAATGCGAAGCGAGCAAAGTATATGTATACAGGCATGACACCTCATCTATTCTTCTTGTGCTTTCTTCGAGGGAAAATGCACTTCATGACACAAATAGTATTACATAAAAATTGTTTTATTAAGCGATGTGGCACGTCTGTAGTAAATAGGCTCTGTGCAATAATTCAACGTGGTAGTGAATGAGAGAGGTCCACGAGGTCGTCTTAGTCAAAAACCGTTGTCCCAGGCTTGCCAGATCAGTTGTGAGAAGACTCAAAGCTGCTGGTCGATGAGAAGGTCTGCTTCGTGTACTTCATTTGCTGCAAACGAGAGACAAACGGACATATTAATCAAGGAACGTGCGTAAAACGGCATTTTATATGGCATTAATTAGCACCAACACACAAACCCAAGGAATAGAGATAGAGATGTCCGAACATCCAACGGTAGTCTTAAAGCACTTAAAAAAATCGGGCTGGACTAGTCGAATTGCGATTGAAAATGTCAGGGCTTTTTAGTTTGCTTAAGGTAGGTCTAGCCAACAAGGCGCCTCAAGTAGTTCAGCGTCAAGCTTCCGCAAACACAGAGTGCCATTAGTGTATGCCGTTCACATCGTTGTTTGCGCTAAACGACCACCAACACGACAAACAGGTACATATGACTTGAACAAGGCTTTGCGATGAATAACTTCAAGCATGTATTAAGAAACATTCACCTCTTCAAGTGCGATTCACAGGAGTCTGGGGCGTCGATAGCGGTCACGTTGTGATTATTATGCCTGTTACTGTTGAGGCAAGCAGGTACCTTAAAAACGACCAATGATGCAATGCTTTCACACGAAAATAAATTTAGGAAATACGGGTCTTCGAGGTGAATTCACAAAGCTATTTGTTGGCGAATAATGTTTCATAATTCGACGGCATCTTTCACTAATAACGTTAACACTATAACTGGCTAGCACGTACTTTCACAAACAATCTTAGCGTAAGAATTATTTTAGTATTCCTGTTCTGGACTTGTACTCACATGAGTATTTGGCGCTAGAAATTTTGTTAAGTGCAGATGGCAATCCATCTTGATGCTGGTCCTATTATTAGTGAAAGTGGCTAAGATAAACTGAAGGAAAGTGAAATCGGCCTGTGCGGTCGAATAAAAAAAACAATGCTTTTCAGTGTTTTTTAATTATTGACAAAGTGACTTTGTTTATAGCATGCCCATTAACAAGATTGTCTGGAAGTGTCTTTTTAGGAACACTTTGCGCATAAAGGCTCCTTGTGAACACGAGCTGTTGGTCAGTATTAAGAAATATGAATTACGCTAGAATTGTTAATAAGAGCAAAAACACAGACATTCCTAATAATGGACACGTAGGAACAAAAGCTAGGAAAGAAGGCCAGATAGTGGCAAAAATTAATAACGTACAACCAACTCTGAGAATTCAATCCCTGATTTTTAAGGCAACAAAAAAAATACAATCTTAATAGCTATAGAACAGTATCAACTACATCGCCAAGGACACGTTTTAAAAGAATGCCTTATCATGAAAACACATTGCTTTAGCATGATTATTAGCTTGATGAAAATTCGGGGTAAATTAGTAATGAAAATGAAATGGTTGCTTTCTTACTTAAAAACTGTATCGCTACATTCGAAGAGGACAAGAAGTACTTCGACAGTGCCCATATGCTGTAATGTACTTATCTCCTTGTCTTCGTCAAATGTCGCGCTACAATTTCTAAGTAAGAATGTATCACCAACTAGCCCTATGACGTGTTTTCTAAATAGTTATTTACATTCTGATCAGTTGCCAAGCTTAAATATGCACGAGAATACCAGAGGTACATCGCAATCCTAGTATACGACGAACTGCGAGAAAAAATGTAAAATGTGCAATGAACTGTTACAAAGGGCGGTGGTCGGATTGCACATGCGTAGACATATGGGGCTTAGCCCGACATGGTGTGCACACAAGTGCTTGTCTAATAACCTGAAATTTTAATGACTACATAACCATAAGACTATACTGGAATTTTCTTTCGAATGTTCAGGTTCAAGCTAGCTCTATATTTAAAACAACTCTACACAAACAAACTAGCAGTTATAAAGTGGAATAGTCAATAACGTGCTCGTTCGACTACAAGTCTAGCCAGCACATTATTGTGGTACGATATGAAATCAAAATGCCATAATCAACACCTATCTGAGCGACGCAAAACTCACCTGCTGCGCAGTTGTCTTAACGATCCTCTGTGATTCGTTGGACTCGGTGGACGACTGATGCACCATGGAACGACTGTCCTGCATCACCTTTCGCACGGCTTGACTGGACTCGCTGACCGTCTGGTCACCGTGCATGGCCACGCGCTTGGACTGCTGAGTCTCGGTGCGGGACTGCGTGGTCTTCTTCATCACCGTCTGACCCTCGTCGGTCTCGCAACCGGCGGGCACCATGATGCCGCTACCAGAATCGGTTGGGAGTTTAAGCTGCATCTCCAGCTTGGCACCCAACGGCACGTTGATGACCGAGCCGGGCGTCAGAGGAATCTTGGTGCTGTCCTCCATTGCGCTCAGAAGGGCTACTTCGACTGCGGCGTCCGACTGCGCGAGTGCTCGACTCGTGGGTCGACTGAGATTCAGAGTACGTCTATAAAGCGGCGGCCCGGGCTGCGTCAATTGTAGTCGTGGAGAGGGCGGAGATGCGCTGGCTTCGCGGAAGGCGGAGTTTCGTTAGCGTGACGTGTTGTAAAAGCGAAGCACATCTACCGAGAAGCCACGGGAGAGGGGAGGAGCAACACCAGGAGGCTCTTCTCTTACGCCGGCCCAAAGAAAAAGAAGAGAAAATCTCTGTGGTAAAAGGGTAGTTTTCCTGAGCCCTCAAGCTCGGGATGTTTCCTGTCGATTCAGTTTGCCATGTGACAATATGAAAATATGAACGAATTTAATGCTTCCGAGGGAGTTCTTTTGATTCTTTGTTGAACCCAGTGTAGAGAGACTGAAGGCCGGGGGTTTAAAACGGGCTGGAATGTCGTTCTGTTTGTCTGCCCTCCACAGACACCACCGGGTGAGAAGGGGGCCGTTTACAAGGGAGAGGAGGCCCTCCCCGCGCTGGCGCGTCGGCTGCGCTAAACATAGCGCGGCTTCGGCCCGAAAGATGTTGCCCCGCGGCCGCGTAACTGGAGACTGGGTTCAAGATGGTGCCGCAGTCATTACGCAGTTGGCTTGATCTAAAACAATACAAAAATATGCGCTGTGCAAGTGCCAAGCTCGCGGCTGAACTGTGCGTCCGGGGAGCATGGTGATGCGCACCCACATGGCCGCTGCCTCGAGAGGAATCCAGCGCGCGTCGAAACAGCCAAGCCCTATCCGCGCCGAGGTCGCCCTGAGTCACCTGTGGGTTGCGTCAGTTTTGGACCTGGTGTCGAAGTCTGGAGTCAATGCTCATCATGTGGATATGTCGGGGAACGCGCAAACTGTTTGCTTGCTGCTTGCACCAACTGGTGACGAGAAGACAGTCACCACTTCTCGAAGAACGCGCACCCATGCATTGCGAAATCTCACTTTTTTTGTTATTCTTTTTTCTTTATTTCGGGAACTGGCAATTCCTTTTATCAAGTAGAGTGAACAATATTGCTAGTTTTACCACAATATCGTATTGTGTGCAAATATGAAAAGCAGTGAAAAAAAAAAGCTTTGAATAGCTGGGAAGGAAGTCCACTCACCGGATACGCAAACTGCACTCGGTGAAACTTACAGAAAGATCTCTCTATGACAGAGGATAGATGAAAGTGCGCAACAGAAACAGAACTCAATAAATAATAATTTTTTTTCTGTGGATAAAACTAGTGATACAAGCCATGCTGCATCGAGACTCGAACGTATACCAACATAGTACGAGCAGTTTTAACCCATTCGACCCTAGTGTCCTATATAAAGGACATGAAGAAAGATTTCTATATGTTGTGGCATTAGCAAACTACATTAAAAAAGAATCTGAGTTATTATTAAAGGGCAAGTAAACAACACGAATATCAGTAAATTGTTATAAAAAATATGTGCTCTTTTGCTTTGTTAACACGCTGCCACAAGAATTTTGTGAGAAAGGTGCTATATTAAGGAAGTTATAGGTATTAAAACATCGGTTTCAGCTGATTTTAAATTTACGTGGCCTCGCGACCCTTCTACTTCACAGAAAGGGGAAGGCGTAGCCCGTCGTCGTGACTGGATCAAACCAATCGACGAGCTGCGTGCTATGTCAAGTCACCGATTAGCGACTTAGTGAAAGTAGATTAGTGGAAAGGAGCGCGGGAAATGTTTTTGGAAGTGGAGGTTCTGCGTGGTGCAGCACTGTAATATTCGGCAAACGTGATTGCGGTCGTCTACTGTTTGAATTGCCGAGCTTCTTTTAAAGGTGTAAAAGAAAGTCGAAGCCTGTTGACTGGCTTTGGAATGCCGCTGGGCCAACATTGATAGCAATTTCATGGTTATCTTCCTGGTAAGTCTGCGGAGTTCAAAACAAAATAACGGAAGATAAAAAAGGCAACAACTTGAAGAGAATACACGATAATATTTTTATTTTGAGCCAATCCTACAGTAGCTATCATGATTTTTTCATTGTTCCTAAAAATTAAAGGGCTCGCTTGTTATGGACAGTTTTCCAAGTCTACAATCTTCATGTTCTATAAATATAGTGCAATAGTACTCAAAGATTGTGAGAGCTTTGAATGCACGCTTAACATTGTTGCTTATGTCACACTCAGATATTCTGTCGTTATTTTCGTGAGGCAAGAACTGAACCTGAATTGCTTTAATAATCAGCTAGGTGACTTCGGTAGCGAGATCGTTGCATATAATAGATGTGAAAACATTTGTTGCGCCATATAAAATTTGCCTTAAGTAATTAGAAAATAATAGCAACAATGTGGGATGCTTCCTGCTGCTTGTTATTACAGAAATAAGGAAGAAATAAGATTACTGAGGCCCCTTATTTACTTCGAAAGCATAGGGTCACGTTCTACTGCATCGAAAATCTGTAGCTAGCAGCACAGCAGAACGTCAAGCTGGTTCAATCACTGGCAGTGCGATCTCATCGTCTTCGCCACGAGCTTGTCCTCATCTTCTTTCCCACAGCAGTACATACAAGCCTGTCAGGAAAGATACCAGCTAATCACATGTTTGTGGCAATATCACTCTTTCAAGGCGTACTCAGTGTAGTTAATTACCATCCGATCTCTATCTCATGCACCACGTGTAAAATATTGGTGGAGCATATAAGTCCTAAACAATTATTCCAGTATATTGAATTCTATAAACTCTTCTACAAGCATCCATATGCTTTCCGTAAACGCTTATTAACCGTCAACCAATGTTTTGAAACAATACACACATTCGCAGCTGCTCTTAACTCTAAGGAGTGAATAGACATGATCGTGATAGATTCGTCAAAAGTATTTGGCATAGTTTTTCATGCAAAACTGATCGAAAAAAAACATAAGCTCGGCGTTTCCGTTGACATTATAAAATGGGTCACTGATTATTTGAATAACAGAGAGCAGTTTCTGGAAATTACTGGAGCATGGTCACATACGTTGCCTGTTTATCCAGGCAACGTATTTGACCTCGGAAGAGAGCAGCGCTTCGAGGTAGGTAATAGTGCACTTCAAGTTGTAGAAGAGTAAGTCTATATAGGGCAGGTAATAACCACGGAGCCGAACCACAAAATTGAAGTAACCAGAAGTGTGAGAATGGGGTGGAGAAGATTTGGCAAGCACTCTCAAATTATGACACGTAGATTGCCACTATCCCTCAAGAGGAAGGTATATAGCAGCTGTATCTTGCCGGTACGTAGCTACGGAGCAGAAACAGGAGAAACCTGGAGACTTACAAAAAAGGTTCAGCTTAAATTGAGAACGACGCAGCGAGCAATGGAAAGAAAAATAGTAGGTGTAACCTTAAGAGACAAGAAGAGAGCAGAGTGGATTAGAGAACAAACGGGGGTTAAGGATATCGTAGTTGAAATCAAGAAGAGGAAATGGACATGGGCCGGGCATGTAGTGCGTAGACAGGATAACCGCTGGTCATTAAGGGTAACTGACTGGATTCCCAGAGAAGGCAAGCGGGATAGGGGGAGACAGAAGGTTAGGTGGGCAGATGAAATTAAGAAGTTTGCTGGTATAAATTGGCAGCAGCAATCACAGGACCGAGTTAACTGGCGGAACATGGGAAAGGCCTTTGTACTGCAGTGGACGTAGTCAGGCTGATGATGGTGATGATTATAGTGATACTATTGATATTCATCTCATGAGACATATGAGGCTTTAGGATTTCTTAATATTATCGGTTGAATGAGGGTGGACTGCCCAATCTATAATGACGTCAGCTCTGACAAAGCGACCGATGTCAGATCTGACATCTAACTGCATTAAAGAGTGAAAAGCTTGTTTTGCGGTGCTTCAGGCGCTCTAACTAATATATTACTGCTATCATCTTAGCACTAAAGCATTTGTATGCGTCAACGAGACAGAATTGAAAAGTTATCATCAATTACACTATATTTTACTTTAAAAACACTCAGACCTGGTTTATATGGGGCGAAGTGTGAAAACTTAAGCAAGCCGGTAGGACACAACTGAATACACGAATATCGCAACCTAGAAGTAGTTGCAGCTTAATTATGGGAGCAATAAACAAGCACAGAAAAGAGCGCTGCGAATGGAAGCTTATATGAGACGTGGTGCCATTTTTATTATATACTGATGGGGCACATGAAATATACTATTGGGCGAAGCTCCTTATAGCGGCACCCGTTTATCCCTCGTAGTCGTAGTAGTAGTGTGTAACCAGTCTTGCATTTTGACCTCCAAGGTGGTGCCGGTGGGAGATTTCTTCTGTGCGTTGTTGAACAATAAAAAATTCGCAGCGTGCGCGTTAACTAAAAGCCAAATTTTCCCGTCTCTCATTCCCCCTTTGCAGCCATTGGCATGTACATTGAGCACTATCTGACAAGAAAGGGTTGCTACGTTATACTCGCTGGGCGTAACCTCCTTGGTTTTAAAAAGGTTTAGCGAGCGTTGGGCCGCAGTGCCATGAATACAGTGAACTAGTATATACCATGAACTCGAGGTGGTTAAAGGTGGAAAGTAGACACGAAACGCAAGCCGTAAGAAAGTATGCGTGTGCCTCCTCTCGTTCAGTTCTTGGAATGTCCGCTGGATGGCGGTGCTTTTATATGAAGAATATATGATGAAAATAAGCAAGATGATGGTACTTGGAGTGTTGAATAGGCGGACGAATGGACACACGGACAGATGCATGGATGGACGCACGGATGGCTGCACGAACGGATGGACGTATGGACGGACGCAGGAGCGGATGCACGGACGAACGCAGGGACAGACGCACAGATGGACGTGCGGACGCACGAACAGACGCACGCACGGACGGGAAGATGGACGCACGGGCGGCCACACAGACGCACGCATGGATGGACGGAAGCAAGAACGAATGGACGGACGGATGCTTCGCTCCACTCTCCATCATTCACTCCGTTGATATGCTGCCATTGTTTTTCATGCCCTTTAGGCATAGGTGTATCAGCCGGGGGGGAGCAAAAGGGGCGCCACTCCCCCCCCCCTCTCCACTGAGAAAAGTTGGGGGAGGCCGAGCCCCACGTTCGACAGTG